TTGTTGCACGTATTAGCTCTAGAATTACTACGTTTATCCGAGTAGTAGATACCATCAAACAAAATAAAATTGATTTAATGAGCCATTCACAATTTTACAGTCCGAATTTGTTCATACTTACATATGCATGGCTTAATCTTTGAAAGTAGCATATGACTACTGGCAGGATCAACCAGGTAGTATTCCTCATTGATGTCGGCGTCGCCTGAGTATGGCCAACCCAAAGGGCACGACCAACTCCAAGACGAGCACGACCGTCATACATAAGGAGCATTCTTTGGACAAATAGGAGCCAATGAAGACCTCATGCCCATTGTGTTTACCGAATTCGAAACTTCGAGCATACTAGTCATGGACCAAGTCATCGCACGACAACGCAAGGACGCTGTGGGACACAACTGCAGCTTTTGGTTCACCCCGCATGTGGAGCACAAGGGGAAAAAGGCAACCAACTGTACATGATAATGCCTGGGCATTAGGTATGCAACACAGGAAACCGACACCGAACAAGCCTAATTTGCGTTTGTGCCATGACTGAGATGGCATGCGAAATATGACGTCCATGCTCAAGCAGGGATCCAACCTAGCCACACAAGCCGAACACCACTTATGGGCCATACATACACTTGCCTCGCCGATTCGCACCAGCAATAGCCCCAACACGCGGTGCGCAGCTATGTGTTGTTGCAAGTGCCGACATTGCAAAGTCAAGACAAGCCCGTTATAGAAGTGAAGAAGTTGCCACAAGTTTAAAGGCACATACAAACTATATATCTATCTTTAGTCTTGTACTTTGGATTAAAATCGCTCCTTATAATCAAACTAAATTTATCTACACCGAAAATAAGTTTTTTTATAATTAATTTGGATTGAGTCTTGTTGCAAAAGATTGAAAATCTCTTTTGGAGTTTATATATCAATTGTGAGAGAGTTTGGTAAATATATTATTGGTTTTAATTGGAATTTCAAATTGAAACTCGAAGAGGAGAAAGAACATTTTGTTGTATGTATGTTATTTGTATGTCCAATGTATTACTGGACATACAGGGATATACATGAAATATACAAAATATGTACTAATGACATACAACATAACTGCACATTATATGCAAATTGTATGTTTTGGCCGAATTGTATACAATGAAAAATGTAAGTTGTAACGTCGATGCATTTCTTTTTCCATAAAATGTGATAGGAAATGATGGCTTAAATCTTCAAAATCGATAAAGTGATCCTGGAAAATCTTACTATCTCAAGCAACAATCATATTGAAAACGTTGAATTAACCAGTGTAGCTGAAAAGAGAAGCATAATAACAAGTCTCACTTTCAATGCCAAAAGATAAAAGTGTATTAGAAAGCATCGTTTCATGGATACCTCACTATTAAGGGAGTTTCACTGCCTTCCCTTTTCAGGCCAAATGATACTCAAGAAATGGTTGGAAGCACGGATATCCAGACAATCAGGGAGGCTTTCAAGTTTCTCACAGTTCCTGATTTCTAAGCTGCAAAGTATAGGCATGGCCGTATTTTTCACCTCAAATATCTCCAGGAAGCACAAATTCAAGAGTTCTAAACGTTTGAGCTTAGGGAAACCTGAATCAGAGAAGATGATTTTCTTCGCAATATAAGCATCATCAGACAGGACAAGCACCCCTAAATTAGGAAGCTTTTCCAAGGTTGGCATGGAACTTTCATTGAGATGAGATTTATTGAGAACTAACTGAGTAAAACTTGGCGAGATTTCATCAGATGATGGTAGGCGGCCAATATGTCCCTTAAAACGCAAGATGCGAGCAGCTTGACACTGAAACAATTCTCTAAGAACTGAATGCCTTTCCTCCGCGTAGCAATCAAAATCAATGACATCAACGGTGGAATGCAGAAAGTTGCTTAATGTTGTTTTCATGTAATTGGTGATTGACACCAAATCGTCAAAATCTCCTTCCACCTTTGCTCCCAAATACCGGAGTTTAAGAAGCTTAAAGATATCGTCAGCTTTGCACAACCTCGTATTGAAGTTTTCGAGTGTTGCAAGTTCAGTCAAGCTATTGAGTCCCAGTTTTTTACCATTTTGAGTTACAAACTTTAGTGGAAGATATAAATGGTTCAGCCTCCTCATGTTCCCTAGGACGTTTGGAATTTTTATTTCAATTAATTCTTTCACTCTCAAATCAAGAACTTGCATGTAGGACAACTTGCTAATAGAAGATGGCAACTCCTCTAGGACACATCCTTTGAAGCTCAGATACCTCAAGAGTTCAAGATTAAATATACCTGTTGGTAGTTTCTGGCCTCGAAAATCAATCCCATTGAAATCAAGAATTCTGAGTACTCTGAACTCCTCGAGGTTAAGCATTTCATTCGGCCAGATAAATTCATTTTCTATTTGCTGCATGTTTCCAAGAACCACTCGAAGACTCCGAATAATTTTAGCAACTTTAGGCTCAATATCAACTCTATGATTGCCCAGATATATCACAAGTCGACGTGGCTCATCAATTGATGAGAGCGAATAGTCCTTTTCTCTTAAATCTATGATTTTGAGAAAACGTTTTTGTTCACAATTTGAAACACAGAAGTTTTCTATTCCTTGAACAATGCAGCAAGCTTTGAATTTCTTAGTAGTGGGAACTTCCTCTGCTTGCACCTTTACTATGCCCTTAAGTGTCAATTCTCTGAGATATCGCTCTGTCATTTCCATCGTGCTCTCCCCTCTAGCGCTTTCTCCAGTTGATAATAAGCCTTCAATCATCCACAAATGGGACAGCTTCTCGGGATCTATCTCTTGATCTTCCAGGAAATGACCCAAGTACACAAAGCATGGTTTCAAGTGGTCTGGTAACTCATTATAAACTGTACAACAGAATTCAGACAATAGAAAAAATCTCAATTACATGAAAATCACTTGTAATGTCTGTCTTCCTATTTTCGTAACAGAATGAGTTTAATGTTTCATGCACTGACATATACACTTATTTTTACACCACCAGAATTATCAAAATGTCATAAAGAGTGGTGGTTGATAGAGCTGAATATTTTTCCATATATACCTGCCAAGAGATCTCAAGACCAACATGCGTTCTCTTTTTTTCCGAGAGTCAAACAAATTATTTTTTGATCGTAAACTTTTCATATGTCTTTTAAATATTTTAAATTATTAATTGTTACGACTTATAGTACTTTTTACGTAGTTCCCAAATATATAAAATTTATCTCGAAAAACTAAAATCCTCTATGTTTAAATGCATGATCAAAATTAAGAAGTTTGAATCTCGTAAAAGAAAAGTATCACACAAATTGGGACGGATGGAGTAGATATTAACATACACGAAGTTAAGCTTGCGGCAGTGGTAACAGCTTGAAGTTATAAGTATAGATTTGCTTCATCTGTTTCTTGAGGGGAAGATGAAGAAGCTGGCAGGTAGAGTAGCAGGAGCAAATAAACTTATTCCTACAACTAAATATTGATTAATTGCCTTGCTGGAAAAATGTGTACAGCTCGTACTTTCTTGTAAGAGTCAGAAAGTATTAAGGATATTAATCTAGAAAAGTAAACTGAAGACAGAAAGCAATGTGTAAGACTTTAACTTAATACTTGTATCCAGAATAACTGAAAGTCATCATTATGGAGTAGTATATTATTGTAAGCAATGCCAAAAAGATTCAAAAGAAATAACATAACAGGAATACTTATATCTAAGATAGGTGAACCAATAATTTTGTGCTAGCTCACAAGAAGTTTTTATCTTTAATGTAGAATAAGAACAAACCAGCTTAGTATTCTGCTATTACTTGAGAATTCAAGACCAAAGAATAATATTCATGTATGTTAAAGTGTGTTGAATGGATAATTGGGATTGAACTGAATATAGATGGGATCGATGGTGCTGGTGTTCGCGACGGTGTGTTAGTTGTTGCCTCGACGTTGTTCCTTTGTCCCAATGCGGGGTCAAAGGTGGAAGCGCCCCTTGTGGGGTATGGAGGCAGAGCAGCCGAAAACGTAAAGGAATTTCAAATGAAATAAGACCGTGATTGCAGCAAATCAAAGGGTGGTCTGTGGATGCAGTTGCTTCATCCCTAAAAATCCTGCTTGTTGGACGCAGTGGCGGAGCCATCTTATAGAAAGGCATGTGCGGGAAAAATAGACTGTGTAGGCAGGTAAAAAAAATTATATGTATATATATTATGTATTAACTCCCCTTAATTTTCTGGTATGTTTACTTTTATATAATTTAACCTCTTAACGGAAATTCTGGCTCCGCCACTAGTTGGACGGGCACGTGGAGATTTTGAGGCAGTGAGCTTAGCTAGATAAAATATAGATCACCGGAAACTAAGTAATAATTTTCAAAAAAAATAAAATAAAAGACTTGTATGATCATACCAAATATCGTATACATTAAATTAAAGGTAAGGGTAATTTGAAACAAGTTTGGACTAGGAAAAATAACAGACCTGTATCCGCCCGGGGAGGGAGAGCCTCCCTAAACAAAGCCTCCTCGTTCAAGGGCGTCATTGTATGCACAAACTCGTTTCTACATATGTATTCCGCTACATATCCTACCCGGGTGGTTACCAGTACAATGCTACGTTTGTCTAATTTTGGAAATGTTTTACACACGGTTTCCCAAGCTTCTATTGACCGTATATCATCCAGGACAATTAGGGTCCTCTGAGATTTAAGTCTTTCCTCTATTCGTTCAAGCAGTTGTTCTTCGGAGCTGTAAAACATGTGCTTCATCCACCCATGACAAGAAACAAGTACTTGTCTAAGTATGTCTCTGATTTCAAACTTTTCGGAAACATTAACCCAGATGCGAGTGTTAAACTCCTTAGTAACGATTGGGTCCTCGTATAGTATTCTTTTAGCAAGAGTAGTCTTGCCCGAGCCAACAGCTCCACATATTGGGATGACGGGGACCCCAATTTGGGAGGATGACTCAGGGATGTTGGACCCTGTTCCAGATAATATAACTTGACGCACTCGCTTTTGGTCTTCTTTAAGCCCAAATAGACTGCTGTACACAGCACGAGAGCTTCTCGTCGGACCTTGATTTTCGAAGCTATCTGCTACAGGAACTGCTTCTTCGATTTCCTTGATGATGCTCGCAATATCAGATTTGATCTTCCGGAGAGCGAAAGGAATCAAAGCGTATCTCATACATATAATTTTGATACCGTTAAATATCTCTCTGTTTGATAAGCTTCTTCTTGATCTTCCCAAAACACGATAAGTTTCAATAACATCCTCAATTTGATAATCAAGCTCTTCAATTTTCCTTACACTGTCTTTGTGTTGTGTCTTCCCTTTCAACCAAACTTGCATCCGCTTTAGCTCTCCTAGTATGGCATATAAATGTCCGCTAGCTGATCGATTCAATGGTGCAGTTTCTTGATCTGCCAACACTAAACTCTGAAGCCTTTCCACGGCTAACCGGAGCACTAGTTCCGACATCGTGGTCAACTCTTGGTTCAGTTCAGTTCATGATTCTACTTGCTGGCTGCTCATAAAATAAGTAATTCTTCTCGCAGCATCACCCTCCGCTGGCATGTGCATTAACTAAAGACAAAAGCCCATGTCTAGATTAACAACGAAAGGAAGAAAGAAAATCGGAAAAAGAAAAAGAAAGCGAGGTTCACTTATTAGTTGACCAAATCGAGAGCTACAACGGTGTGTTTGGTATGGAGATATTTTCTACTTTACTCAGTTTGGTTTGCTTATATATTGGAGAAAATACTTCACTCATTTTCTTCCATTTTTTGAAAAATAATGCTCGCCCAAGTGAATGTTTGTTTTGAAGATTGACAAAGGAAGCTCATGCATGAACCAAGTCCATCCCTTGTGTGCATAGACACGGGCAGATTCAAGCATGTGAGATGCACGTGAAAGAGATAAGCTTAACTTGGTATAATTGATATCTCCTTATCGAAAAGGTTGCATAATTGATAAAGAGAAGAACTCCTTAATCAAAGAGAACACTATCCAAGATAAGGGAGGAGTTAGAAGTTGAGATCAACTAG